AAAACTGTCCAAGTATCTAAAAGCATGTAGGAATTACTATAATAATCAGCTGAAAAAGTTCAATTAAAAAAAATTCGAATATTAAAAAAAAGATTAATTATTAGCACATAACATGAAAGATTTCTATTTAATATTCTTTTTCCATAGGAAAGGATGGATGGATATTACTAGCAATTCCCGTACCTGAAAACCTTCAAAGATGTTAATAAGGATCCTTATGATTTATGAAAAAGAAAGCAGTAAATTGAATACATTAACTAGCTAAAAATCAAATTAGAAATTCAAAAATTAATAAGTGATTCCAATAAAACAGGTAATCAATCCGAAATTATTAAATTTCACTTTATTGTTCAAGCTTGACCATTTTCATCGTGAAGTAAGAGAGTGAAGAGCAATTCTATCATTTAAAGAAATGTATCACTTGTTAAATAGTATTTTTGTCCTTTTCATATATCCCAAAGTAAGCATTTTTCTAATAAGGTTATGGTATTAATTAACAAATTCAATTTCAATGTATGAAATTAAAAATTCATGATGATATATCTTTAATTTTCACTTTAGAATTACAAATATAAACACATGGATATAAATCTTAAGATGTATCTATTTCTGTGATCTATATAAAAATATATATATAACAATATTTACTAAAAAATCTTATGAGTTTTATTTAGTCCATTTTATATATTTATGTTCTACACTCACTTCCATTATTATTATATCATTTACTTAAAATTTAAAAGGTTATCCTAGAGTTTTATTTGAATGATGGAAATATGTATCACTTGATTCTTTTAATAAATATGATCTAGATTATAATTAATTATATTTAATACCCTTTACCTTAACCATCACCTTTATATCCATTTTATTTAATCATTTCTCTAAATCCTATTCCAATTTCACACCATTAACTAATTCTAAGTATTTCGAATTCAAAGTGTATTTTACCAATTTTAGGAATCACTTTTTCACACATACAATAACCATTAGAATTATTACCAATATCAACAATCTTTCCATTATCACTTATCACAATATCATTATGTTTATAATTATATGAAAATGTTAATCCTTTTTAAAATTATAATTTCTTAGATAATTTGTAAGATAATATCGCTATAATAATACTTTATAATATAATTAATTTGATAAATCAGGGATTTAGATTTGCCCTTCGTCAAGTTTAATATTTATATTAATCAATTTTTAAGAGCTTTAAATTATGAATAACAATGTCTTTGTGCATTATTATTAGATAAATGTAAATTGTATTCTTTAATAACCAATAACACTATAATTTTGTAATTTATACTTTTTTTATCTTATTTTGGTTGTTTTTCTATTTCTTCATCAATTATTACAAAAATAACTTATTTTATAATTCTTTTTTAGTCTTACGAATGCTTTGCTGGCGGAAAAAAAAAATTGATTTCTTTAATGGTGATTTAAATATATAAAATGAAGAAAAGGATGTAGATTAAATTGCAATTCAATAATTTTTAACTATAGAGATCCATCAAATCTTAAAGAAGCATTATTAAATAATTAGTGTACTTAGGCTATAAGCCAATATAAATTGATATAACTGGAATATTCAATATCAAGAATCTTATTTTAAATTTATAAATGGCTTGATTATCTAAATAAGTTGCAAAAATAGCATTATAAGATTCAACCTTTCGCTGTCCCATTTTTAGTAGAAGGATGAATATTGATTCAAATTCCAATTTATTTAGAATAATCATCTGACAATTTCTTTCAAAATAAAGAACTTTAACCTGGATCTGTTCCATATTCATCTCCATTTTTAATTAAATGAATTTATTAGGTTTAATCCTATATTTTTAACAAAACAATTTCTAATGAGAATTTCCGAAGTTTTAAGTATTTCTAAAGAGCGTAATTTAAATATTAGTTCAAAATTTCATTTTTTTCAAATACTTTATGCATAATTATAACCTCAAAAATAAATAAATAAATATAATTAAGTTTTTTTTTAATAATTTATTTGTATTAATATTTACTCATACTGATTCCTTTTCAGTATTTTTGGAATTACAACTTCAATTTCTAAAAAAGCTTAAAAACAATTAACAATATTTTAATAAAAGCTTTTTTTAAATAAAAATTTGATTTCTTAAAAATCAATACAATAATAACAAAATTTTTCATGACAAGAACCTAAACCTCTTTATTAGATACTTAATTTAGAACTTGCAGCTAATAGGCAGTAATAATAATAATTAATAATAATAAAAAACTTTTCAAAAAGGATTCAGTGTTGTTACAATTTTAAAATTATGATGAAAAATAATAATTGGTTATAATTATTCTTGATTGGGATTATTAAAAAAATAAACAGAAATCGAATGATATCTAAAAAATATAAAGATATATTTATTAAAATCTTTATTATATTAGTTTGCTTATATATACAATTATTAAATTATGATCTACTCTAATAACTATAACCTTTTTTTTGTAATTCAATATATTTGTAAGAATGTCATTAATTTAAGAAAACTTAGATTAGAAATTTCATATACAGTTGGGAGTTTTATCAATAATATTTGGTGTTTTGGCAATTTTGAATTCAGAAGATCAGAAATGGCAAAAATAATTTATCAATTTTAAGAATTCTGGTGTCTGGTTTAAATAATCTACCATCAACTTGTATTATTATTATTATGAGTGAGCTTAGGATAGTTTTATTAATAAAACACATTTTATTAAAATTTTTGAAATATACCATAATAATAATTATTTCAATTATAATATATTTAAATGATAGCAAAATCAAATTATTATAATTTTTTCTCTTTTATTAAAGCTTCAATTTTCCTAGCTGCTTTAATATATTTATTTTCCTCTTCAGATGATCTACTTCAATTCTAATTTTAATGAATAAATTGAGAATTTAAGTATAAAGCAGCAGATAAATAATTAAAAAGATTCTATATTAGATTCATTAATCAAAAAGGATAATGGTAAAGATTTTATATCATTCCATCACAATTACTTCCCGCAGCCTAACATTTTTATTTA